TATAAAATTCATACTTTAAGAAAAGTTTAAAGAATCAGAATAGAATCAAAGAGTTGAGATTAGTAATAGAATAGTCCCTTAATTAATTTGGCTTTTGTCCTGTCCCATAGCAGAAGATGGCTATGCTTGTAACCCCAGCACTTGGGAGCTGAGGCAGGAGAATCATGGTGCAAAGCTTCCTCTACATAGCAAGTTAAGGCCAGCCTATGTTACATGAGACCCTGTCTCCAAAAACTAAATACTACTAATATTAATGGGCCAGCGAGGTGGCTCAGCAGGCAAAAGGTACACTCAGATGCACGTCTGGCAACCTGAGTTCAACCCCTAGACACATGTAAGGGAGAGGGAGAGAACTGACCCCACACAGGGTCACACACATGCCTGCATATGTCCATACATCATGCATGCAGTGCACACACTCTAATAATAATAGTAGCAACAATAGTAATTTTAAAAAAGGCTTTAGGAGCCAGGCAGTGGTGGTGCACGCCCTTAATCCCAGCACTCGGGAGGCAGAGGCAGGTGAGTTAAGGGCCAGCCTGGGCTACAGAGTTCCAGGACAGCCAGAGCTCTACAGGGAGACCCTGTCTCAGAAAGAAATTATTTCCTAACCAGTGTTTGGTTAGTGTCCAAGCACGGAAGCAGCCTGGTTGACTGAGCAGTTGGAGCGCTCCTCTGGAGATTTCCAACACAACCCGAGTCCCTCAAGTCAAAAGGTTCCAGAGCCTGGGTGCACCAAGGGCAAAGGGTTGTTATATTACGGGTGACCACAAGATGGCGATAGAGCGCTGTAGACAGCAGCCTCCATCCCTGGACCACCCACAGCTGCTTCCTTCTCTCCAAGTGTGTTATGATTTTGAGTCGTCTTCTTTCCTGACCTTTTGGGTTTTTTTCTCTCTCTCATCCTTGCCCATTTCTTTCTGTTCCTGTCTGCCCAACCTTCTTCTCCTTCACCACTGGTCATATGGAAATGAAAGCTTTTTTTTAAAAAAAATGTTAATATTCATTTAATTGTATGTGTGTGTGTGTATGTTTAGGGGTGGGAGTTGGAAGTGTTTTAAATGCAACATATTCCCTGACACAGAAAAAAAAAGTCATCATTTTTTTTTTAGACAGAGGCTCATGTGTTCCAAGCTGGCCTCATGTGCCTGAGAATGGCCTTGAACTTCTGATGTTCCTGCTCTGTCTCCCAAGTGCTAAGATTACAGGCTTGCATCACTGCATCCAGTTTTATACAGGGTGAGGGCTTGAACCCAGGGCTTTATGCATGCTGGGAAAATCCTCTACCAACTGATCTACTACCTCAGCCAATGTTTTTTAATTTGTTTGTTTTTATTTTTGTCTTTTTGAGATAGGGTTTTTCTCTGTGTAGCTTTGGAGCCTGTTCTGGATCTCACTTGGTAGTCCAGGCTGGCCTCGAACTCACAGATCCACCTGGCTCTGCCTCCCGAGTGCTGGGATTAAAGGTGTGTGCTATCACCGCCCGGCTCCAGCCACTGTTGACAGGGTAGGTAGCCTTAATAGTGCCTGGCCTTGGCACCTCATTGCCTTTCACAGGTTGGCTGGACTGGATACAAGTAGGCTTTCTGCATCCGTCCCAAGCTAACGACCTTGGACTTTCAGGCAAGGCTTTCTGTGGGCCTAGCTGCCCACGCCAGGTTCATTTCCCAAATGGGGCGTTGCCCTGGCCCACTGTCCAAGCGAGGCCCAGCCCAGTGCAGCTGGCACCAGCAGTCTGGGCGCTCCTTGGTCTAGAGGCTTGGGGCCAAGAAGGGATCCCCTGAGAGTTCTGAACCCAAGCAGAACCAGAGGGCTTGAAATAACTTTGGGGGGTCTCTGGGAAGTGGGTAAACCAAAGTGGACCCAGCCAGGTTCTCAGGATAACTCTGTGACCCCAGACACTTCCCTCCTGAACAGAAGGCCCTCAGATGGAAGCGTCCTCCTTCCCCTCCGGGGTATTTCCAGTGACTAGTCAGAGCCAAAGCCCGGTACGGTAAAACTGAACACGCCACCGTCACTGCGACGCCAGTTTCACAATGCCAACCACCTCCCCCTTCTCCACACTCTGTAAATCTGAGCTCCAGTGAAGGGCATTGGTTTAAGATGGCCACCAACAGTAACTGGAGTTTGCTTTGTAAATATCCATCTGGTGCCAAACCCCACAAAAGCTTTCTTCATTTCCTGTGGGGTTAGAATAAGAACAAACCACCCAGGGGGTGAGTGGGGGGGGGGCTCTATGTATGTTACAGACTGTGTGTGATTGCAGCGTCCTTTGATTAATTCGGTTTCTTTGTATCCAGAAAACAGCGATCTTCCTCCAGAAACTTTTCTTTGTCAAATAAGGAGTTACGTAATCAATTGTGTTTCCTTTTTCTCATTGGCTTTCAGGAAGCTCAGGGCTGAATATAATAGTGCTGAATGCGTAGCGCAGTGACCTCCCTTTATTGTAACATCATTCTTTTTTGTTTGTTCGGTTGTTTGTTTTTGGTTTTTTCAAGACAGGGTTTCTCTCTGTAGCTTTGGAGCCTGTCCTGGAACTCACTCTGTAGACCAGGCTGGCCTCGAACTTAAAGAGATCTGCCTGGCTCTGCCTCCCAAGTGCTGAGATTAAAGAAAGAAGTGTGCCACTCACCGCCCAGCTGATATCATCATTTTTATATCTACTTGTCTTAACTGAGTGTGTGTTTTCTGATTCCAAACTGCTCCCATTCTGGCTTTCTTTTTCTTTTTTGGTTTTTTTGAGACAGGGTTTCTTTGTGTAGTTTTGGTGCCTGACCTGGCTCTTGATTTGTAGACCAGGCTGGCCTCGAACTCACAGAGATCTCCCTGCCTCTGCCTCCCAAGTGCTGGGATTAAAGTGTGTGCCATCTATGGGCAGTTGATCCGTGCCGACCCTGTTCTCAAGGCCTCCCAGAGGTGGATTCATTTCACTTCTCCCATGTTCTGCGAAGTCAGCAGCCCCCATCTGTAGGGAAAGCTGAGGTACGGAGGGGCTAAATGGCTATCCAAGACCAGCAGTTGAGTGGGGTTCACACCCAAGTTTTTCAGTGCCAGCCCATGCTCTCCACTGGGAAGCACTTGCCCCTGCCTGGAACTCACCTAGGTGAGAGTCAAGCACCACCAAATCCCTGCAGTGGGCAGCACAGCAAACTGGCCTTGTCAGCAGAGGCCCGGGGAGGATTTAACCACCCTTTCAGGAGGCCATTTGGAGGGTTGGCTTGAGAGTTTTTAGAACACTTATCATTTTGACTTAGAAATCCTATTTCTGGGAGTCTATGCTATGAAAATGATCCACAATATGGAAAAATTCCTTGCTGAAATAAGTTCACAGTGGGCTGTTCATACTGCTTAACATGGAGTCAACGCAAATATTTGGTGGCCCAGAGACGGCCCATACAGCGAGGATGCTTATGGGAGCAATTTTACCCATTTTGGCCAGAAGCTACGAAGCAGACTCCAAGCCGGTACTCTGAAGTAGAAGCGGGAGGCTGTGGTGTTTAAGGTCATCCCTGGCTATACACTGAGTTTTGAGACCAGCCTGGGATACATGAGACTCTCTTTCCAAAAAACTGAAAACATGTCTGCAAAAGGAAAACAAAACACATTTTTAGCCACTTAAACCAGATATCAGCATTCAAATCCTAGGTCAGGGTTAGGTCTAGACTTACCTTGGTGCCCCTCGGGTTTGAGAACAGCCTGTAACACTTCCTGGGGATGCTCCATGGCTCCTCCTGTGAGTGAGAACACAGTTATCACCTCAAAGGGAAGGAGTTTATCCTGAAGCCAAATGTGAGTGACCATGGCCCCCAAACAGGAATTTACGTCACCCCCAAATACTATGTTCTGATCTGGTAATAGTGAGGTAAAGGTTTCCTAATAACATGGTAAAATTATACATGGAGGTAGTTTAATTTTTTTTTTTTAAACTAAAATTAAGCTGGTCGGGTGGCACACACCTTTGATCCCAGCACCTGGCAGGCAGAGGCAGGCAGATTTCTGTAAGTTCAAGGCTAGGCTGGTCTACATAGTGAGTTCCAGCACAGCCAGGGCTATGTAGAGAGACCCTGTCTCAACAGCCCCCCCCCAAAAAAAACCTAAAAATATTTTAAAGTATTTATTTATTGCATGTATGAGTGTGTATGAAATTTATTTATTGCGTGTATGAGTGTGTGTGTGTGTGCCACTGCATGCGTGTGGGAGTCAGAGGGCACGTGGGAGTCCGGTGGCAGCTGTCTGTACCCTCACTAAAGCCATCTCACCAGCTCAGCTCAAGATAATTTGGCTGGGGACCTTTAACATAACAACTCTTCAGCGGCCGGGAATCGTGTATATGCGTTGTCTTGCGCTGGTGTGGGTGTTTGGGGGGTTTTGTTGTTTTTCTTCTGAGAACTTGACACAGGGGACTCCCTATTTACACTTGTCAGTGCCCCCCAACCTGGCAGCCTCCCACCCCTGCTCTGGAGTGCCCGGTCATGTTTTGTGATCTCCCAGTGGAGGGGGTTTGCAGTGTGCCTTTCCAGGCAGCCTCCTTGCATCCCCCGAGGAGGCGGGGCTCAGACCTGGTTCTCCCCAGCAGCCCACAGGTCAGGGGTCCATGCTCGGGGTGTGGTCATCACTCATTCTTTTTTTTGGCTATCAAAGGTGCAGATAATTAATAAGAAGCTGGATCTTAGCAACGTCCAGTCCAAGTGTGGCTCAAAGGACAATATCAAACACGTCCCGGGCGGCGGCAGTGTGAGTACGATCACACTCTCCGTGCAGTGTGCTGCAGCCTTCCGTGTGAGGAGTGTCTGAGTGTGTACTTGTGAGACATTGCACAGAATAAATCACCGCAGGCTCGGGGCCTCCTGTGTCCCTACACTTAATCTGCTGTCCCCAGACTCCCCTCCCCATGTTCAGTGGAGGGTCCGGCAGAATAGGGATGGCAATTGGCTCCCCCCCGCTGGCCCTTCCCTGAGAAGCTGGGTCCCCACAGTACCATGCCCATGTCCCTAGGAGCCCAATAGCCTACTAGAAATGGGACTGAAGACCGTGGCACCCAAGACTGGCTGTCACCTCTTCCCTCACCTCTGGAACAGGTTCTGCTGTGGATGGATGGTCCACATGATCTTAGAGGACACTAAGGACTTCTGTCCCATGCCAAGGGCAGAAAGGGCCCTAGCCACCCTAGTCACCCTCTATTTCTCATCTGGGTCTCCATCTTCAAGAGAGGAAGCACTTCCTAAGCCTCAGTTAAAGTTTAAAACCAGCTCTTCCCCCCCTCCACCCCCCAGGGACTCTGGTTGCAAAGAGCCTAATAAAAAGGTCATGGGTGATATCTATTGTCCCAGTTCAGTTTGCCAGAGAAAGGCTGCTTAGGGTTTTAAATTTGTCCTCCTCTAAACACCCCTGTGGACCCAGCTTGTCCCCAGTGAGTCTGTGTGAGATGTTCTCAGGCTCCCTGGATGGGCTTAGAAACTCCGTTGTCCTTCAGGCTGGCCTGTGCCCACAGGGCAGGATATGCAAACTGGCCTCAGGGTTCTCCTGGCCAGCTCCCTCATTCCCAGCTCTGGGTCAGTCCCAGAAGGGGCCCAGGCTCTCCGAGAGAGAGTTCCTGCTGGCTGTGTCCTGTGACTGCTGGAACATTGGGATGGGCCCTTCCCAGAAACTGTCTCGGCCCACAGGGTTTATTCTTGCAATGTGCTTCTGCCTCCTGCCCTGGCCCCTGCCCTGCCTTCTGCCTCTTGGACCCTTGGCCCCAGAGCAGCAAGTGCTGGCCCTGTGGCTACTGCTTCTCACGCTTACTCACTCACGGTGTCTGCCATTTCCTCTGTCCTCCACTCCCTGCCACCCCTGCCACCCCCACCCCATACAGCCGTCGGCCACACCGTAGTTACTGCCCAGCCTGACGCTCTCCCAGTGTACACTCAATAAACTGTTCTGGAAAGCGATGGGTGGGGCTAAGAGGTGGTCACTAACGACTGCCATTGCTGTCTTTGTCCCTGGGCCCTTGAATGTTGTCATTTAGGGTACGCTGACTTCCCAGCCCAGGCCTGCCGCGCTTGGGGAGGAGAGGCAGGGGTGTCTGCCTGGGCTCGTGTCTGACGTGCTGCTCGGGCTGAAGGCTCTGGCTCCAGTGGGCTGCAAAGGGCGGATGCCCCTGCAGGGGACGTTGGGAAGAGCCAGCTCAGAGCAGCTCTGGTCACATGCTGAGTGCCGGATGAGAGGCTCCAGTAGGCAGGCTATCAGGGAACTTTGTAATGTGTGCAGCAGTGTGTGAGCCTGTGAACTAGCCCGTGACCACCTTATACAGAGTCACAAGATAGCCCGGGCTGGCCATGAGGCCTGTCCTTGGCCTGTGGCCACGGTTGACTACAGGATGGACCTGTAGAGAAGCGCTCTGAAGGGAGGGGGCAGTGGTTTTGGCCTCTGGCATTTCGGGCTGAAGGATCCCTGGTCTGGGCTGCACATCCGGGTTGCTGCTTGCTCTCACTCTGGGGTGGAGGGATTTGCAGCAGACAGGCTGCTCCTCCATCTGTACCTCCTGGCTGAGCTGTGGCCTCCTCTCCAGAGCTGCTTCTCCAGGCTCCGTACATTCCTTTCTCCTCTGACCATTCGAGGCTTCCAACACCTCTTACCTCTGCCACCCCCTGGTACTGACTCTCACGGGACTCTGCCTAGGCCGGAGGAAGAGTGAGGCTCTGGGCATCCCTGTAGCATCCCTGTCCCTTCTTGGAGGTCTCTGTCTCCCGTGGCTGCAGAGGGCCAATGCTCCCTTGGCTCTCCCATCATCAACTGCCCCAGAACTCCCACGATACCCTGGATCTGTTTGTAGAAGGTCTTTGGGATCATCTGCTCTTCACCCACCTTTACTGGGGCAGGCTGACACCCCAGCACACTGACATGTGAGGCCACAGCCCTCCTCTTCCATGAGGTCCATTAGTAAACACACACACACACACACACACACACACACACCACACCACACTACACACACCACACCACCAGCACAGCTAACCATGAAAATGACAGCGATTTGTTCATTTACACCTCTGTAGCACATCCACCTTGCTTTGCTGACTCTCACACATAAGGCCACCCCTCTCCCAGGACAGGAGATGCCCCTACCTGTGGTCTATATAGGAGACCCATGGGACTTGGAAGGTGGCAGTTAGTGACCGGCTATCTAAGCTGTAAACCACAGTTCTGAGAGACTGGCTTCCAGGAGCCCCATCGGCCTGGGTGGTCTTCTTCTGGGCATTTCTCTCAGGAAGCAACTGTCATTCCTCAGAGCAGGCATTGCTGCTGGGCGATGAAGGACCCTTGGGCTGGCAGGTTTCCCCGTGTGTCCTGTCTGCTCACTCACGCTTGCTGAGACACTAACCCTGTGATTTCTGCTGTGTGTCTGCCCCCCCCCCCCTTGCTGGTGTCGCTTTGCTCTTTTCAGTAGAGGATGAAGTACCCAGGAGACTGTGCGCCCTGAGCTGTAGCGCTGTCCTGGGCCCGGTTTGCCGACCGGTGGTCCAGGACTGTGGGAGCTTCCAGGATGAAGCATACCCATCCTTGTGGATTCTCCTCTTTGAATCCCTTCCAAGGAGAGCACCTGGAGGCTGCATAGGCCGGTCACTTCTTCCTCCACTGCGTGTGACCGGGCTCTCCTCAATGAAAGGATTTACGTCTTTATATTTAAGTATCTGCTAAATAGATACCTCTGCTTTTCCATGGAAGTCTCTTGGGTTTCTGAGATTGAAGATGTTTAGGTCCCATAGTTACTTTGTGAAGACCCAGCGTCCTGGGGGACGGGGATTGGTTGGATTTGGGGAGCATATTTTCCTCCCTGAGTGGGGTGTATCCAGTAGCTGATGGGAGCCACTGACAAGTGGTCCATCAGGCTTTGCTTGTGTTACACACACCTAGTAATGTAACCCCTTTATTCTCTGTCTCCTTCCTGCCCTCTCTGACCCACAGGTACAAATAGTCTACAAGCCAGTGGACCTGAGCAAGGTGACCTCCAAGTGTGGCTCATTAGGCAACATCCATCATAAACCAGGTAGCCCTTGAGGAAGGCAGGCTTTGGGCTAGGAAGGTGCTGGCTAGGCTGGCAGGTGCTTCCTGGAATCGGCCAACCTGGGCAGTGAACAGTAAATGTGAAAGTGACTGTCCCTGCTGGCTCCTGAGAAGGAAGGGCCTTTTCAGCCTAGACAAGGGTGGAGGGAGAAGACAAGCTGGTCCCAGACGCCATCTGTGGCTCTCCAGAAAAGCCTGTAATAGAGGACCAGCCATGGGACTGATTGGGTCCCCAAAGGCCAGTTCTGTGGACTTCTCAGCTTCGTCCTAGCCAGCATGGGGGGGGGGGCACTGCATCAACAGTTGTGACGTGAGACCATTCTGGGCTGTTGTTCCATCCTTGCTGTGACTTTGTTTAAACAAAGCACCCTTCCCAGAACAGCAGTACAGGTCACCTCCCCTCCTGCCACACCCGAGTGTGGTGACCCAAGTCAAAGAGGCAGAAGGGGGGTTCGGGTTTCTCCTCCCTGTGCATTTGACATGCAGTTTCACTCCAAGGTCTTGAGGGGTTCCGCTTTACAGGACGATCATATGAAAATCTCCACCGCTGGAAGGCACCCAGTTTAGAGTTTAGCATGCCTTCTCCTGGCCAAGCTTCCTGTACCGTTGGACCATTTCAGGAGGAAGATTTTGTAGAGTAAATATCCAATGTGCATCTCGATTAGAGGCGAGGCAGGTGGTTTGGAAGCCCTTACAAGGGCTGCCTTGTGGCTAAGCCTCCTTCTCAATAAGTAGAGCCCTGGCAACTCCAAGAGGGTGGGCTGTTCTTGTGATCACTGGCCCAGCCTCTGTTGGAGTCAGAATGGGCACATTAACTAATGTTCCCCTCCAGAATGGTGACATCTGACCTAATTTTTATCAAGCCTCCAGCAGCCCCAGGCGCTTTGCTCTGCAGGCTGAAACTTCATTTAATACATGCTAAGTCCCCAGACCACAGAAGATGGCAAGCAGCTCTTGTGTGGGTTGTGTTCCAGGAGGTGGCCAGGTGGAAGTGAAATCTGAGAAGCTGGACTTCAAGGACAGAGTCCAGTCGAAGATTGGTTCCCTGGATAACATCACCCATGTCCCTGGAGGAGGGAATAAGAAGGTAAAGGGGGACGACAAATGGGGAGGTCACATGGGGATACTGGGGTTAATGGAGTGGACAAGGCTGGTCCTAGAGGGCCCCATATGGACCAGCTACAGACAGATTCTCACTCTCAGCCCGGTGTACCAAGAACAAGGCATGAGGCCAAAGACAGATCTTTCCCACTGGTTACCAGAAAGCTAGAGCAAAATAGTGATGCTGGCCGAGGGTGTGGCTGGCAGAGTGACCGGTGGGCTGCCCTGGTTTTCCTCTCTGGCATAAACCACCTCCACACTTGCCTGGCCCCATATTATGGAGGTAGCCTCCTCGGCAGGATCCTCCCAGCAAATGACTAAACAGAGGGAATGTCCCGCAGTCAGACCCAGCCTAGCCCGAGAAAGGGTATTTACCCAAGGTGGCTCAGCCGTCTTTCTACTTGGCCATGTTGGTGGCCCCTGGGAGTCCCCTGGCTGGCAAGTCCCCCCAGCTCCCTGCTTTCTTCTGCATCCACATGTCTGCATCTGCTGCTTATGTAAAACCCCTGGTATCACTATGAAGCACCCGCTAAAGCAATGGGCACACAGCCAGCAGGCTGAGAGGGCCTTGCCCCGAGATGGCCTCTCAGGGCAGATCCTCTGGCCTTCAGGACCCCAACGTGGACATGGACCTTTGCTGCTCCAAAGCAGGAGACCCTTCAGTCTTGGAAGCTGTCAGAAGCTGAAGACAGGAGGCCATACCCGAGGGCTGCCAGGCAGGGCTCCCTTCTCTGGGAAGGTGGGAAAGCCTCCTCATCAAAGGCCAGAGCTCCGCCATTTCTGCCACACACCACTCAGTTTAAATGCAACGTCTCCGTATATTGTTCATATATGGGGCTTCTTGGTCCCAGAGTGCCATAGGGAGCCACAGGCCTAGCTCTACCTCAGTCTGACTCAGTGGGGCTGGAACCTAGGCCTTGGAGATTCCCTGGGCCCGGGGAGTTCTCCACCAGCTTGGGAAGGAAACTCTGGGGAGGCAGGACTCCCTTGGAGGCCTGATTTAGGCAGATTTTCAACCTCTTGGCTATTTCTCCTTCAGAGAAATACCTGCACCCCAGATGTGGGGTGGGATTCGAACAAAAGAAGGACCCTGTATCCCAGGACTGGAAAACTGGAGAGAGGTGGATCAGGAGTTCAAGGTTATCCTGAGTGACACAGAATATGAGACCTTGTGTCACAAAACTAGAAACAGCTAGACATAATGGTGCATGCCTTTAATCCCAGCATTCGGGAGGCAGAGGCAGAAGATCTCTGTGAATTTGAGGGCAGCCTGGTCTGGACAGGTGGAGCTAATAGAATGACCCTGCAACATACACGCATGCATGCACACACATTTTTATCAAAGCTTCTTGCAAGTACAATAATAATATGGAAGGCCCCTCTTTATCAAAAAGAACAGCATATGAATGTAGCCTAAATGAAGGCCTGAGTTTTCTCTGTCCACATTCAAGCACCCAGCAAGAAGGGCTCTTCTTCACCTAGGGTCTATGGCCTCCGAAGTGGTATGGAAATGCAGTATGTGTGCAGCATGCATATGTGCACACATGGCTCAAAGCCTGGGATCCAGAACAAGGTTGAGGCATTTTGTGTCCACCCCTTATATGTAAAGACTTTACACCTGCCTCAAACTGCCACCTCATGCTTTCTGCTTCCCTCTGGATTCCTGGTTATAGTATTGTGCGTCTCCACCCCTCACCGTGTGTGTGTGTGTGTGTGTGTGTGTGTGTGTGTGTGTGTGTGTGTGTGTGTGTTGCATGAACATGAGTATGCAGGTGAGCACACCCATGCACATACATGCAGAGGCCAGAACAGAACATCAGGTGCCTTCCTCTATCACTCTCCACCTTATTGTCTTGAGACAGGGTGTCTCACTGAACCAGAAGCTTGCTGCTTTTGCTGGGCTGGCTATGAGTGAGCTCCTGGGATGTACCTGTTTCCATCCCCAAATGCTGAGGTTACAAGTTACAGGCATGCGCAGATGCGCCCTGCTTTTTTATTCGAGTGCCGAGAATTCGAACTGAGGCCTTTGTGTTTGCAGAGCAAGCACTCCTACCCACTGGGCCATCTCCCCAGGCCTGTGGTAGCGTTTCCTAGGAAGGGCTTCTTGGCTTCACAGCTTCTAGCACACGTGCTAGTGGGTGCCACCTGAAAATACCTTAAGAACCTTTGACAAGAAGTCTGTGTATGGCGGTGGCTGCTGGTACCGGTGATTCTACAGCCAGCCCTTTCCCCTCTTGCGGCTTCTCCTGCAAAGCCTTTAGCAGCAAGTGGGCAATAATCTAGCAAAGCAGAGTCCAGATCAAGGGGTGGGAAGCATGGGTACAGCGTGTGTTCAGTGTGCTTGAGGCCTCGGGTTCCACCCCCAGCACAAACAAACAAACAAATAGTCATTACATTCTTAGGATACACATACACATGTAAAATGATGTGTGGAAGGTCACTGAAGGTTATTCATACTCAGCATTGTAGTTGCAGAAAAATGGAACTGCCTCCACTTCTAGCTGCAGGAAGGAGATAGATTTTGATGCGGATGCTGTGATGGTGTAGAATAAGTAGCCACGGGCACTAGGAAGTTCTCTCTGGAATAACAAAGGATTAAGCCTGAACTTGGGTGTCACACGCCTGTAATCTCAGAAACTGAGAGAGGGGGGGACTCATAAGGACAGCTAGTTCCAGGCCAACCTGAGCTAAATAGTAAGCTCTGGCCTTAAAAATCAAACCAGGCCAGTGAGATTGCTCAGTGGGTAAAGTAAGCCTGATGCCCTGAGTTTGGTCGCCAGGACCCAGATGTTAGAAGGAGAGAACCAACTCCCACAAGTTGTCCTCTGCTCTCCCCACATGAGAAAACACACACACACACACACACACACACACACACACACACACACACACACATAAAAGGATTAGACAAACAGCCAGGTATGGCAGCACACGCCTTTACTCCTATCACTCAGGAGGCAGGGGCAGGCGGATCTCTGTGATTTCCAAGCCAGAATGGTCTACAGAGTGAGTTACAAGCAGGCCACAGCTAAATATTGGTATCCTGTCTCAGAGTAAATAAATAAATTAATAAAAACTAAGCGAACAAGAATGAACAATAC